GGGAGCGGAGGAAGGACTGAGAGGAGGGGGCAATACCGGGGAGCGGCACTTACTTTGTGTTGATGGGAGTCAGAGGATTGTAGAAGTCTCGGATGATCTGATTTCCATACCAGGAGCACGCTATGAGCGCCGCCAGACCTGCCGGAGGAAAGCACAAAGTACTGAGTATACCACCAGCCTGGTACCGCCCTCTGACCAGATCCCTCCCACCAGCCTGGTACCGCCCTCTGACCAGATCCCTCCCACCAGCCTGGTACCGCCCTCTGACCAGATCCCTCCCACCAGCCTGGTACCGCCCTCTGACCAGATCCCTCCCGCCAGCCTAGTACCGCCCTCTGACCAGATCCCTCGCACCAGCCTGGTACTCACCCGCCAGCAGCAAGACAAAGCCACCAGTCATGGCGATCCGCGCCTTCTTCACCTTGTCGTCGCCCCCACATTTGGTGCACTTCATCCCCATGGTGGAGATGGCCACGCCCACTATCCCGATTACGATGGAGACCACCATGAGAGCGCGTGTGGCCTGCAGGGAGGCTGCAGAGAGAAGAGAAAGGATTAGAGGCGTTCACCAATTCCAGACATCGGTCTGTCCAGGACAAACTGTGCGACGACATTACCGCGGGGATCAGGGGAAGCTCCGCCATCAGGGACTGGAGGGCCACCAGACCACATGATGAGCACTCATTGGATGAGGACCGAGTGGAGGGGGGTGGGGAACCTCCACCATACGGGACTGGAGCGTCACCATACCACATGAGCACTCATTGGATGAGGATCGAGTGGAGGGGGTTGGGGAACCTCCACCATCAGGGACTGGAGAGCCACCATCAGGGACTGGAGAGCCACCATACCACATGAGCACTCATTGGATGAGGATCGAGTGGAGGGGGTTGGGGAACCTCCACCATCAGGGACTGGAGAGCCACCATCAGGGACTGGAGAGCCACCATACCACATGAGCACTCATTGGATGAGGATCGAGTGGAGGGGGTTGGGGAACCTCCACCATCAGGGACTGGAGAGCCACCATCAGGGACTGGAGAGCCACCATACCACATGAGCACTCATTGGATGAGGATCGAGTGGAGGGGGTTGGGGAACCTCCACCATCAGGGACTGGAGAGCCACCAGACCACATGATGAGCACTCATTGAATGAGGACCGAGTGGAGGGGGTTGGCGAACCTCCACCAGACCACACGATGAGCTGTCTATGTGAAGTCCTTAGGGATCGCTCCACCCGTCTGGCGGCTCTTCAGTCCCCGATTACAGCACGAGACCCTCAGCGCAATTCCCGGTGGAGGATGGGCGGCAGCCATACACCTCCATAGGCCGGGAGGGAAGATCAGAGGACGTGGGACCCCCAGACATGGAACCTTTCCCTCAGGGAACACCGAGGACATCAATGTCCCTCCAGCAATCCCGTGTGCCTGGCTGTCATGCTGATCCTCTGAACTCAATGGATAGGACTTCAGGCATTGCTTTGGGTCATGAAGCCAGAGGACGCTTCCAACAACCAGCATCGTCCCCCCTGCTCAGTAATGGCCGCCCTCGGACTTCTCTCATAGGACAGCAGCCAATCAGAACTTGTAGGCCACAGACCAGCAGACAGGGTCCCCAATCACCACACCAAGAGGACCCGTCATGTCTCCTCGGCTGAGATGGGACACAGATTTGGGGGGGAACTCAGCCAGAGGAGCTTTAGCGCCAAAACCCCGAACCGCCCTCCCACACCCCGATCCCCCGTACAGAAGGGCGAGGATGACAGCGGGACGCTTCCCACAGATCACATTCCAAGCAGCAAGGAAAGCCCTGAAG